CTTCATTTCTGATTAATTTATGAAGTTGTACAGCTCATGTTGGTTAGAGTTACTTGCTAACTTACTGTTATAAATTGATTTTAAAATAAATGTAAGCGATTAGGGAAGGGTATACGAGGGAGAAGTGCAAAAGATTCCATTCCCGAGAATTTTTAGTGTTTTAAAAACTTTGCAACTGCATTACTCTCCATGTTTTCATCTAAATATGCTTGTGAATCTCTGTTCTCAGTTATGGACTTTATTGAGTCTCGTAACAGGAGTAGCCTGAAAGATGAAACCAGTAGTTCGTGTATTTCTGTGAAAGTTACAAAATATACCAAATGTAAAATCTCTATCAGCGGTAATGCAGCAGCAGAAGTCTCACTGATATAGAATAAGAAAATTAATAAAATATATTTGTTGAACTGATATTTTCCCAGATATTGAATCTGTCTGTACATTTTTAAAAGGTTTATTATTGTGTATTTTTGCTTTGAAAGTAGCTAAGCATTGTTTTCAATTTCGGTCGGCACGCGGAAGAATTTTGTCTTTAAATTTAGTCGATTTTGGCACACGAGCCGAAAAAGGTTGTCCACCCCTGTCCTAGGTGCTTATTAAAACAGGGATCGCTATTTAACAACGTCTTTATGACGTCATACATAAAGAAGTGAAAAAGACTTGTCTTGGAAAGCTTTTGAAATTCTACTTCGAATAGGGTTTTATTATCATAGCTTTTTGAAAGTAAATTTGAGACCAGAAAAGAATGGGGCGGTGACCAAGCCTCCATCACACCTATTTTATATTTTAAATGAACATGCAAAGTAAAAGAAAGTTTTTTTTTTTGGGCTTTTCGCATTTGTAGACGATGTACATGTTCCCAATACCACACCGGATAAGCTACATGAAATTTTTCTTGAAAAAGAATCGAAAAGACGATTTAAGGAGAAAAAGCCAAACGAAAATGAGTACAAACAGTCGAAACTCTTAATATGTAATTATAATTGACATTTTTTTGTAAAGTATGGTATTAACTCATTGTCTTAAGATTGTGGTAATTTGCAGTTTTTTCTTTAAAACAAACTAAATTTATCAGTTATATTTTGTAGTATTTCTCTTTTTTGTTGGAATTAGTTATATCGGATTACATACAAGAAAATATTGCCTAATTTACAGTTTTTGACTTTTTTAACAATTGTTTTTGTTGCCGATTTACTTTTCAACATTTTTTTTAGTTTGTTGTGTTCATTTCCACGGCCACCTATAATCCACGTGTATATTACGAATGGGACACGCTCGGCCAAGTATTATTTATTTTAAACATATATTATCCCATAACGTCATTTCGACTGATTACTCCTCAAATTCCTAACGTAATTAGAGATGGTAAGATTTACGGTATTAACTTGTTTTTTTTCGATTTCGCAAGAAAAATCTGTACGAAAACACAAAAATGGGTTTCAGTGGATTGGGTTTCGTAGAATACATCCGACACCAAAAGTACACGCTTGTAAAAATCAAGAGAACAACTTCAAATTGATGTACTTAAACCTGTTCCAGGAAAAGCATAATAGGAGGTCCTTTGTTCAATTTTTTATTTTTTCCAAAAATTTACTTATTCTGTTAATTTTTTATTATTTCTTAAATTTTTCGCGATTTTTCTTATACGACGCTTATTCATGCCATTCACTTCGAACTGGCCGTGCACAAGCAGGCCCCTGATATCTGACAGAACTCGAGATGTGTACCAACACAGTCTAACGCTCAAAGAGCGCCGCCATTATTCAGTCAATTTAATATTTCAAGACATTATGGTATAACATTTTTCGATTAACGATGGAATAATTAGAATAAAACTTAGACTATATAATCGTATCACTGGAAACATTATTTCATTTGTATTTACTTTTATCTGTATATATTCATTTTTTCTCGTCTTCATCAAACAGAACGCGAAAGAATCTGTTGTAGGCTGAGAGAAAGGGGGTCATTTAGCCTGGTCCAGATTTTTGTAAATACGTGTTTCCAATACTGAAACAAATGACATTTTTACAACCAAAAACCATTTTTAAAATCCGACACTATTATGCAAAGCATTCCACATACATGTGAAATATCTGTATTGTAATTTTACAATAGGTAAAAACACTCATTGAATGAGTATTATTAATAAGTGTAGCGTCTAACACACCCCGGGTGGGCAAAAGTGTTTATTTTTTTGTGAAAAGTACTTAATTTTTTCAAAAGGTCACATCACCTTTAGTTAGAATTTAATATGTAAAATATCCCAAATTAGGGATTTTAAATAAATATATTAGATGAAAAAGTGAAAACATAGATAGTTTAGATATTTTGAATAAAGTTTAAAGCTAAATTTTGTATGTAAGTATGAAAATTTTTTACAGCTTTCTCCAAGAGCGAGGTACCACACAAAATGCTTTGGCGGTACACGGGACGTAGTCTGCCCATCCCTTGTTTATACCTATATCAAACCATTTTTTTGTATTTTGAACACACGTAGACATTGGGCCTTAATTACGCTTGTATTCGAGTTGAATTTAAACATTTTTATTCTTTTTTACCTTAAAAATAACTATTTTATGTTATGTTTATTTATTTGAATTCAAATATCACAAAAAATGTGAAGAAAATATTTCCAAGAAAATCTTGTTTTTTTTTATCCTTCGAAAGTACTTTACGTTTCCGGTTACATTTGTCAAGTAAATCCGGAAAAAATGTCACAAAAACAAAATTTAAAATGCTTGTGAAAACCTGCAAACGAAACTGTTTGGATTAGTGTTTACTTTAAGCCTGCTTGTACCTGTAATCAATTACTGGAAAAGTGGCTTATTTTGGTCAAATTTATACGAACAATGTTACAAATCTAGCAAAATGCTACGCTGTAACTTAGATAAAAGGATTGTTGTTCTGATATTACGTCTGTACGAGATGATATGAATACAAAAAAAAAAGAAAAATACTTCTGTAATGATCTTTTATGATATTTATGATGTAAATGGACAGCTTCCATAAAGAGCATATGTTTATTGCAGGTCCTATTATCCATGGTACGAAAAGTCCAATATTTATGGCTTCGCTGGGTTATGCATTTTAGAATGTTTAACATATATTCATGCATTCCAATAACATAATTTTGAATAATTTATTATTTAACCCGGAAAATATATCGTAATGAAAAGGCAAAAATTTCATAAATATGAAAACTATCTATAATATGATCATTTCAAAGAAATGGGCGTTTTCAGTTGACAGTTCAACTGAGCAAAAATAGATGTATCGCAGCATTAATATTTTAGAAGAACCTGACTTTCGGGGAATTTCCTACCAATGTAATTCTCCCTTATTGCGGGAAATCTACTATAAGAAATACTATAAATATTAAAAAGCATGGAAAATGTTTTTCCAAAAAAAAGTTGTTTGTTAGGCAATTCTATCTCGTATCTCAGAAACTCCCGTGCCCACCCCTTTTGTTTGCCTTACACCCACGTGGACCCAATAACAAATATGAAGCCGTGCCTACTTTCGTAGTAATATTTTGCCTAAAATGGCGGGAAATATATTACTACATTCGTCATCGTAAAAGAATTTATGAATGACTCAATTTGAGGAGCGTAAACTACGCAAACAAAAAGGACTGCGATTTCCAAGCACACACATTTATACTAGGCCAGCCAGCCATGATACATTTATAAACCAGGGTATAGGAAGCGATAATAAATGATCGCCTTGTTCGTAATTCGTTTTAAAGGTTTTGCAAATCGTATCACATTGATAAACATACATCAAGGTTGGCCATTGAAAACAACAAGCTGTAAAGCAAACTTTATCTATGGCCTATGGTGTATATACAGCGCAGTGTGTACATAGAACCTTCCATCTAACGTAGTAAACAAGTACCGGTACAAACGATGTTTTTCAAATGATAAAGTACCTTCTTCGTTATTGAGTGGAATAAAGAAAAATACAATGAGATTTGCATTCTAGAATATTGTTTGTCAAATTCATACCCCATAATTGTAAACGATTGATAATTAAACTTGTTCGGAATATAGCGGGTTTCGTGAGTCTGTTTTGAATGGTTTCGACGTTCTCAATATGAAGATATCGTTTTCGGAAAATACAATTTCCTTGCTAGTATTCTTATTAACCAACGTCATCCAGCCATTGAATAGCTCAGGGATGAGCGATTAAATTTACATATTATGCTGGTACAACCGTGTTTCTCCGAAAATAAGACCGAGCCTGAATTCCGAAATGATTTCAATATAAGCCCTCCACTTGAACTGAGCTCTCCTCTTAAAATAGGACCTAGTCGATAGCGCGAAATTTTAAATAAAAACGTGTTATTTATAAGTAAATGGATATCGGTTTTCATATTTTGTATATTTGAGAATCTCGTAGTTCTCTATTTTATAATTTTGTTTTTGATAAATAAAATAAAAGACATCCCCCAAAATGAGTTATTTTCGAAAGAAGATTGATCTCTGAACGTCGATCATAAATGGGACTCGCCTCCTGAGTGCGATATATCATTCGCACATGCGTGGGCGAAGTACGTTTTTCAATTTACATGTAATGATCGAAAACACGAATCGTAAATAATGCTTTATTGATTAATATGCCACCAACAGTTATTAAAACAGTCTATTGTAGAAAAATAGCTTTTTGAGTAATGCAACAATATGGAAAATTAATCATACATAATATATAGTCTTGCATTGTATAAATATATCTGCTTTGAGACCCTTAATAACCACAGGAGAGGCAGTATAATTCGATGATGCGTAAATACGATAACGGATTTATAGGATAATTGGATTATAATACAGTGTGTAGGGCTTTTCAAGATTTTGAAGTGGCGCTGAAACATTGTATTTAATATATACTCGAGCATATTATCGCATAATAGATTGTCTTAATGGGCTATATTCAAAATATATATATTTTATCAAAAGTGTTTTACTGGAATTTCGCAGTAATGATTTCAAAAACGACTTTTACAGCATTTTGTCCTGCGGATTGTCCTAATGCCTGCATGAATGGGAAGTGTATATGCCACGAACAATGCCTAGCGGGATGTCTGTCTCCAAATAACGCATCGTCGTGCCTTGCCTGTCTCCACAAGTCCCACAATGGCGTGTGTGTACCGGATTGCCCACCAAACACATTTTTGGTAAATTCGTTTTTATTAAATATATTAATTTATATAACTATTTAGTGAATTAAGACGTCAATGATAACGTCATCAAATAAGCGACGTTGCACCTTAAATAAATACCTATTTTTTTTTTATAAAGGAAAACAATTGGAGATGTGTGACGCGGGAATGGTGCCTTGACATGACTTGGGTGCCACATGAAGGCAAATGCATTTATCAATGTCCTCCGGACCATATAGAAGTTGGTGATGAAATTCAGGGATATTATTGCAAATTTTGTGGAAAACACTGCGGACACAGTAAGAAGAATTTTGTTTTATATATTATCATTTATAGTTATTTTTGAGGAATTCACTAATACTCAGAGATTTATATATTGCCGTTTTAGGATTAGTTTAGCTCAAAAAGTTTGAGAACCACCGCTCTAGAATATGTTCCATATGACCAGGTTTTGGCTTCTGGGCTACCTTGTACCATGCTCTATATGGGATTACTGTATTTCTAATTACATCCATTACATTTAGATTGTAAAGATCCAGAATACAGTTTAACCGATTTAACATCAATAAAAAGTATATACGGATGCACAAAAATTCCTGGGCGTTTGGAACTCAAGATTGTCGGTGGAGGTATGTGAATATTTCAAGTTATTTCTAACCTTTTTAATGCATTTCTCGCTTTTTTATTAGTTTATAACTCTTTATTCTCTCATTACTGCGCATACTGTTTCTAAATGTTCTTGTTCAATTTTCAATTAATCATTAGCGAGTGTTGTGTGAACTCTGGATAAAGGCTTTTAGATTGTTCAAATTCAGTTCAATCTCATCAAATGATATCTGTTATCTTGAATCCACAATGCGAATTCGCTTACTTGGCTGATTATTCATTTTCACTCCAAGTCATCATCATTTGCTCTTGTTAATTTCGTTATTGAGTGATACTAATTTAACAAATGTATACAAAAATGATGTACAATCGACGCTGCTATAAAACTTTTGAATTCGTACGGAATTCTAAGCATTATTTATAGGCAACATTGCATATGTAGTAATAATATGTTAAGAATAAGTTAGAACCCATTTAAAATGAATGTAAAAACTGAAGTACCGGGATTGCATTTGCTTGATTTAAGAATTAAACAGTGCTGATTAGAGTCTATGACTAAGTCAATGGGAAATTATGTTTATTTTCATGACAGAGATATAAGCAGAAAGGGATAGAAAACTTAGAATAATTACAAGTCAGATTTATCAGAAACACAGCTAAAAGAGTTATATTTTATATTTTAAATGTTTTATGAACTCTTAGTATGAAGGTTTCGTTGGGTGAAAAAATGGCGGCTATTCTACTATATTATAACAACCAAAACTTTCATCACTTATTCTTTCTTCAGACGATCTTTTGAAGTTACTAGAAGAAGTACTTCTTGGTATAGAAGAAGTTGGATCACTCGTCATTCAGAAAACCGAAATTCTTGTATCTTTGGATTTTTTTCGAAACCTCAAAAGAATCACGGGAGCTTCTCATGCATTGAAGGATGAGTATGTGTTTTTTATTTGAGTTTTGTAGACGTACTCTGAAATTATTTACTCACACTCACTCAAGAATGAGGAATTGTACTCGCAGAAAATGCTCATAATACAAGATACGTTTTCTAACATATAAAGGCTTTAGTGTTACTTTCAAGCTTTGTCGAATTCAAGATAACTTTAATCTATATTGCAACGCATATAGACGGTAACATGAAATACCAATTCAAATGCACACGCAATGCTAAATGAGTGAATTTGAATCGGATCTCAAAAATTCAATTCTAATTGGAGAATTTCGTTGTTTCATTGCTGAAAACAGATTTCGAAATAGACGAAAAACTAATATAATTGAAAACTATATTGAATCAAATAAAAAAAAAATGGAGAACTTAGTAATGGTAGATAAATTGAAATAATATGTAAAACCGACTTTTGCAGTAGAGTATATATTAAATATCATCATATATGTTCCATACATGATACGTTACTGGATATAAATTTTGACATATAAAATTCAACTTTTTCAGCACATACAGTTTGTACGTTCTGGACAATCAAAATTTACGCGAATTATTTCCAACGAGAAATACAACTTCGAAATCGAATTCTACCGTAACACAACCTTTGTCGATTGATGGAGGAAAGGCATTCTTTCATTTCAATCCTCGATTATGTGTGAGAGAAATTGAGAAAGTCAGTGACTTGACAGCCGAAATAGAAGACGACAAAGACATCAGCGAGACGACAAACGGAGATAGAGCGACTTGTGAGCCTTTTAAACTTTTTATCGAGATTTCGAAATGATACTTCAACTCAGTGGTGTGCAACATATGGCCCGCGGGCCAAATGCGGCGCACATGGTCAAATTGTGCAGCCCGCGGAGATATGCCAATTTTGGATTCTGTACGCCCCGGGAATTTTAGAGTAATCCGTGCGAGTAATTCCAATCCTTTAGCGTTGCAAGAACAATATCTGTGTCCAATTTATTATCTATGGGTATGACGTTACAATGCCCTTGTGCGAAGCGTACAACACGTGTCATAAGATCCATAATTTGTATTTGAGAAATCCTCTTTTAAAAATGGTTCTCCCTAATTTTAGGTGACATGATTCCACTCAACATTATTGACATTGAACACATGCCTTATATGGGAGTTGCTGCTTTCGCTACAGCGAGAGTAAAATGGGAAAAGGTTGCTATTAGCGACCCACGTACTTTAATTGGATATCAAGTATTCTACAGAGAATCGTAAGCATATACATTTTGTTAGTCACTTAGTGTATAATAATTTTAAATTTAAAAAAAGTCATGTGATGGCATTGGCTGTTAGTAGGGGTATTCGTTAGTGAGTATGTAGCAGGAATGAATTATTATGACGTCATTTTTTTTTAGTTTCAAGTGTGCCTAAAATAGCCTAAATGCTAACAAAAATGGGCACTTTTTTTATAACTCCGTTGACGAATGAGTAAAAAGTAAATTGTAATATATAGTATCAAGATAATTGTTTATACATGCGCTCAATATTAAAATTCTTTATATTTAGTTATATACAAAGCTGTTTGCTTTCAGACTTTTTACTTACCGCTCACTATTAAGATAAAACTAGGCTGTGTTACAAAAAAATAATAATTTAATTTGTTTCTATAATAGAAACGATAATACTTTTCGTTTTCTGTTTCAATTTCAGGAAATACAAAAATGCAACAAGATTTGAAGGTCTATATGCATGTGGAAAATCGAGGTAAAAATCTTGCGAAAATTGTTTTAAATTTATTGTTATCTCCTACCAAGGTCCTGAACAAGACTAATAAAACTGTCATAAGACTAATAATAGCATTAACACAAATCACTATTGAGCGAGAGATATTATGATGGCGAATTCACCTTGGTTATCCACATTCTACAGTGTGTACGTCATACAAATTAACTTTATGCCATGTTTTTAATTGGTCAATGCGCTCTCTTCTTAAGGATACATATAAATGATTGTCATATGAGCCATTACATACATAATAAATATCATTCTTGTGTTCTAATTCCTTCACAATTCCTTTTTCCCTTCACAGTAGTTGGCTCATAAAGGACAAGTTGGTGAATCCCCAGGATTTCCATTTTAATATCACCGACGCAGTATTGCATAACCTGAAGCCTTTCACGCAATACGCACTTTACGTAAGAACGTACATGACGTCAACGGCACAAAAAGGAGCTCAATCTGAAATTATTTATTTCATGACAGAACCCAGCAGTAAGTTCGTTTTCTTTTTTTAAAATATCTCTTCCGCAGATGAATTTTGCCAGTTCGTTACCGGTACCTACGCCATTGCTTCTTTGGGTCCTCTCCATCTTATGATTCTCATTCTCTCGTTTTTTATTTTCTCTTATCTGTCAATTTTTTCTCTCGTTTTACATTATGACGTTTTTCATTCTCTCTCATTTTTTGTGGTCTCAATGACGTCACAATCAATTTAATTGCATTTGGTTCATTGTCCGATACTGAGAAAAGCTTATTACTTACTTATTCGCAACTCAAATTCAATTTAATCGGTCTTAATTACTTTCAGAACCCTCCGAGCCAGTTGATTTGATCGCTACTGCATTGAACACATCTGCAATATTTGTGGAATGGAAACCTCCTACATATCCTAATGGAAACCTAACCCATTACTTCGTCAGATGGAGAAGGCAGAAGGAAGACATGGAATTGATTCTAAGTGTGGACATGTGCTTATCCGGTAGGTAGAACATGTTTCGTGTTTCAGTGATGTAATCGGACCCACCACTTAGTGTCACGTGACACGATACAATATAAACTCTACCTGAGAAAAAGATTTTTAATAGTTGTTTCTCACCCGCAGACATTTTAAAACGAAAGAGTGAAATACTTCTCAGAATATGAATAGAAAATACTCGCATATCTTATGATTAGTTAACATTATTCACAAACATTAGTTGTCACTTACATATCATAAAAGAAAGTTATAATACTCATATTATGGGTATACAATCCGTGTGACTGCAGATATAAGTGAGTCTTGTTCCCTGTGTAGCAATTCCTCGGTTTTATCGAATACTATATTACTATTAAAAATAAGGTGTAAAATGTCGGAATTTATTTTCAGGTAAATCAAGTTATCCAACCAAGACTTCGAGTTCTATCGACAAACCTGTCGTTGTGCCAACTCAAGCAACATCGTCAGCATCTGGAAAGGTTGTAAGACTTTGTTTTCATACTTTGGCTCGTTTTTGGTTGGCATATCTCTATCAAAATTATCAAATAATTGTATTTCTGGATTTGAATTATATTTGTCTGAGAACCCTAGTAGAACACTTTAAAATAAAAATTTATTTGTAAAAATACTATTTTTTATTATCCAGGAATGCTCATGCGAATCGAAAAAAACTTTATCATCTCACGAAGAAGATGCGAACAACAATTTAAATTTTGAAAATTTTTTGTTCAAAAGTATTTTCCAAGTGTAAGTTTGTTTTATATTTGTTTTTAATACGACGTATTTGCACACATTTCGCTTTGAACAAGGCACTGCACCGTCACTGCTAGGTACTATACCGCTGTGGGAGGATTTTTTGGTTCGTCATTGACTATGCCTAATTCAATATACCCGTTCATTCGTATTAGAAAATGCAGTTTAGAAAAAATTTTTTGTCTATCAAATGGTCTCAAATATTTTAATAATATTTTGAGAATATCATTTTTTTATTTGTTCAGACGATACATTAATATGGATTATGACGATATATATGGAGGAGAACGTAAGAAGCGATCGTTTTATGACGACACAATGTATCGTGAAAGGTGAATATTTTATTTCCATTTTTTAATGAAGCTCAATTTTTTTTAAATAGTAAATTGGAAGTTATGCTTCATTTTCATTGTGTGGTGAATTCATGATAAGCCCGGAAAGATCATTGACCCGAAATTTAATGAAAGAGTTTGTTCCCGAGTTCCTAAATCCTGAGACGTGAGTCAAGTCACGAGTCATACGAGTCAAACAATCTAAATCGAGTCAGGTCAATGACTCTACTACAAGTATCAATTTGAGTCAACTACTCCAAGTCGAGTCGAGTCAATGACTTTAGCTTCCACGTGAGTTAAGTCGAGTCGCGAGTCATACAAGTATTAGGTCGAGTTGATCACTCTAACTCAGGTCGAGTTGATCACTCTAACTCGGGTCGAGTCAATGACACTACTACGAGTATCAGGTTGAGTGAACTACTCTAACTCGAATCGAGTCAATGACTTTAGCCTCCTTGTGAGTCAAATTGAATCACAATTCATACGAGTATCAAGTTGAGTCAACTACTTAAACTCGAGTCGAGTCAATGACTCTAGCCTCCTATTTTTGCATACAAACGTATATTTATATTTGCTTTTACCTTTGAATTTTAAAAACTGTGTTTAGGTCTGCCGTCATTCGCAATGCTATCCTATTATTTAAATTATCATTTTTAATTCTAGGCGAAATGTTGAGAATTCGGACACTAATTCCACAGCCACAAATGAGACTGACAATAATGAATGTGAGTATAAACAAAATTTGCACAGAAAGAGGCAATAAGTAGGGTTACAGTTTTAACTATATCCTACTTTTGGGGAGCCATGTATATATACATTGCGTACTGTCAATTAATTTATCGTCATTAAATTTCAATTCCACGCATTTTTTGAGTTGAGTCATTATTAATCAGCATAAAAATCAACCAAAATTCTTTTTGAATATTATGAAACTTTATATATTTTAATTTTTCTATATATCTTTCCGTAACGGTTTTAATTGATTTTCCAATAGGCATTTACGGTCGATAATTTCTTATAATTAATTCATTTCAGTTTATACCATTCCCGAAGCAACAGCCACAATCCCGAGCAATGCGGAGATAGAATATACCTGGAATTTTGAAACAGTATCGGACACAAAGATAACTCTAAATGAGTATGTGATATATTCATTATTATTTTTCTCATTCTGTATTGTTGAGTCTTTTATGAGTTATTTGTACGACATGTAAATACACATTGTATATGTGTACTGTTTGCATAGCCTTCACTGGGCATTTTGGATTATTGGTCAGGAATGCCTAGTTGTTAGAGCACATTTTTCTGTATTGTCATCGCAGATAGAAAAATATTGAACAATTTCATCTTTGGGGTACTTTATCCAGGATATTGCAAATTGCGATCTGAAAATCTGTAAACAAAAAACGTAAATAAACACTGATTAGTAAAAAACAGCAACCCGGTTGTAATATATTGAGAACTTTATTGAGACGAAATTGAAATTGTAACCTGAATTTATGAAAACTTTTTCATTTATTTTGCCACACTGGTGGCAGTGGTATTAAACGTAGTTGGTCCGTTAGGCTTGTCTAATGAAATTTTACGTTCTCTGAAGGTTTAAAATTTGAATTTTCAGTCTTCATCATTTCTCTGAATATGAGATACAAGTTTTTGCATGTAATCATGCTTCGAATATGTATGGTGGAGGTGGATTTTTAAACGAACATGGATGTAGCATCGAATCAATCACCGCACAACGAAGTCAGAGAAAAGCAAGTGCTGACGTCATACCGAAAAATTCGTTCCAGTTGGTTGAACACGAAACAAAGGAACATACGCAGGTACACATATAAAATACACATATAGGACGTTAATATATAGTTTAATACAATGATTTTATTATTTTCACTATCTGAGGAGTTTCCAAAATTGTATTTTCAGCTTTAATTTCTTTCTTTACTTATTTTAAATATATTTATTTTCTCTTACTATGCATAAAAACCTTGTTTCTATTTTTTGCAATGCAACTCGTAAATTTATTATGATAATACTAACTGATACTAGTAAAACTATTGCGAATAGAAAGTAATAAAATAAAAAGTATAAAACAAATTTCATTTCTTTCGATTTAACAGCAAATGTTTCAATGGGAAGCTCCTCCTGATCCAAACGGTTATATCAAGTTCTATACTATTGAATTCCAAAGGAAATCGGAAGAGGTGAGTAATATGGATGGGGCAGGATTTTAATGATGAAGAAGAGGAAAGCTGATACAACGACTCTATCATATAGCTCGGAGTCAATTTCCCATCTTATATTTGAGCAATTTAGTGCACGGAGTCCATTTTTCATTCCATATTTGAGCCAATGTGTTGCTCGGATTCAATTTGCCTTTTCATATTTGAATAATGTAGTTCTCGGAGTCAGTTTTAAATTCTATATTTGAGCAATGTGGTGACAGAAGTCAATTTTTTTATGTCATATTCGACCAATGTGGTGGTCGGAGTCAATTTTAAATTTAAACCGGTAAAATTTTATTTACACAGACGTTCGTCAGCGACAGTGAAGAATGTTTCTCGCTAGACAAATTTATACTCAATAAAGGAAGATTCGCTATTCCCAACAGTCTTACAGCTGGTACATACCGAGCTCGTGTCATGGCCGTATCGTTAGCTGGGAAAGGCGAATGGACGGACTTTTTGGAGTTTGAAGTCATCGATACTGTTGGTATTGGACCGAAAAAAAGCGAACAAAACATATGGATTGCGGCTGTTGTTGTTGCGTTTCTAATTGTCTTTTTTACGCTGATGTCAGTTTGCTACTACAGAAGGAAAAAGTAAGTTTTTTAATTTGTAATTAGGCGTAGCTACAGGGGTGATAAGGTTTTCGGTCCAGAGCCAAAAAGTTAGCCAACTGGATTGGAGGGTCATGTAAGTGTGACGTAAAAAGTTACATTTTATGAACAATATTTACAGTGTTACAAAAGTAAATGCGGAAAACAATAATCCTCGTGCCTAAACTAAATTTAATCGCAATATCAACAAATTCCTTGAACAATTTTTCAGCTAAAACATCGAAATTTGGTTTCAGTTAGGTTGTAGCAGCATCAGGTGGGCCAGATTGAACTACCCAACGAGTCGGATTTGGCCCGCAGGCCCTAGTTTTCCCATGCTCGATCCATACTTGGCTAAGTTATAAAAGTTTTAAATCTTTTTTCACTCTAGGAAAGCCGAAGCGCGTAATGCTATGATATATTCATCGGCCAATCCTGAATATGTAAGCTTAGCTGCCAATTATATTCCCGATGGTTATGAAGTTAAAGAAAGCGATGTTGAACTGGTTAAATTAATCGGACACGGAAATTTTGGAAAGGTAAAGTAATAGTTCATTAACGACAGGCAATTCGTACTATTTTCATTTTTTTGGACACGAAGGGGGACCTACAGGTCGTTTTGTAAAGATTTTGTTGATCTTGTTCTTGTTGTTGTTAAAAAATCGCTTTTCTTCAAAAATAATAAATTTTATCATTTTCAGTACTTACATGATAGAGAAACACTTTAAAAGACTATTATTTTTATTTATTTATTTTTTATTTCATTATTCTGAATCCTATGAGGCCTGGTAATTCACCCCAGCTGACCCCAATTTTTCTGTTTTTGAGTATATTGCGCTGCCTCGTGTGATTACGTTATTCACCGATCTGTTCGGCAAAATTCTGTGCTCGTCCAAAAACCTTACCGGTACCGTTATCGATTGCTACGGTGGTCGATCGGGAAATGGGCTTCATTTCGATACTCCCGTAGTATGTAAACCAAGATGGTGGACACCTGAACGTAGTATGTGGCTAGTCCCCGAACTCGTTTTAGAACTAAAATAAGAAAAATCTTGAAAAACTCTAACCTGGTACACACACATACTCCGTTCCGGTGTCCGCCATCTTGGTTCACATACTACGGAAGTACCTTCATTTCCATATATTTGAACATTGGTCTCTTGTTTTTCAATCAAATTATGGCCATCTAACGCTTTAATATGTATTCCACTGAAGGTATTTGTCGGTTTTGCCAAAAAAGTTATCAAAGGCGAGGATAGAACGCAAGTTGCAATTAAAAAGCTTCGTGAAAAATCAGCGATTCCGAAAAGGTTTGTTACAGATATTATTCTTAAGTTTGAATATTGTTCACGGTTTTAGTCAGCTAAATTGTGTGCAGGATAGAATTTAAGACTAAAAATGGCGACTTATTGTTTCAGAATCGAGTTTCTGGAAGAAGCAAAATTGATGAAAGCTTTCAATGCTACTCACGTCGTTCGTTTGCTAGGCGTTGTATCACAAACACAAGACCCAATGGTTATTATGGAATATATGGAACGAGGAGATTTGAAATCACATTTGAGGTCAAGAAGAGAAGAAGTTGAGGTAGGTGTTTTTATATCTGGGATATATTACACACTAACAAGACTCGTATGAAGTATTAATAGATTTATGGGTACTCTCGTAGTATGTGTACCAAGTTAGGGTTTAGATTCCGATTTTCCTTATTTTAGTCCTATTACAAGTCGGGGACTGTCTGTGTCAGCCAAGTGAATATACCTCCTGCCCATAGGTTTCAGTCCCTTTATACAACTTGATGTAAAGTAGGCGAACAAAATTAGTTACCTTCATTTTGGTATACACACTTCTGAAGCACCAAAAATCGTGCGGCTGTTAAAAGTTCAATCGTTGCGTCACCATTGACATTGAACAATATTACGAAATTAAACAAGGAAATTGACGCTGAAGTCAATATAGTCATTATTATAGCGTATGGTAAATTACCTAGCTTTTGACTGTTGTATTGCCCAAGCGGTTTTATTAGATGGTGTTGCATTCCATATATAATATTTTCGAAATTTTTTGCAATTTTTTTCATTTATATCTGGGTATTAAAGCAAATTTCTTGTTTACTACAGCACGACACAGAGAATTGGTCACCACCTCCGTCTTTGAGCGAAAAATTAGAAATGGCGGCTGAAATTGCCGACGGAATGGCTTATCTTGCTGAAATTAAATACGTACATCGAGACTTAGCTGCAAGGAATTGCCTGGTCAGCGCTGAAGGTGTCGTGAAAATCGGCGATTTTGGTCTCACCAGAGATGTATATGAAACAGATTATTATAGGAAAGATAGCAGAGGTAAGCGTGTGATTATGCTGTGAAAAAATAACAGTAAATTTAGTCGAATTTTATTGTAATATAGATCGGCAACGATGCTGTTGAGTAAGTTCTCGAAATTCAATCTTAAAATCCTTTCTATTGTGGAGGCGGTGAATATTGAAAATCGACTCCGGATTGACAAAAATTGGACTCCGATTCCGGGTCCTAAAATATTCCGACTCCAACTACAGCTCCGATTTCAGAGAAAATCAAATTTTGATAGCAAAAACACTAACGCATGCAATCATTAGTAAACTTGATGCTTTTTAGTATTTGAAGAAAATTTTGATTTTTGTATGAAATTCCGGAGAAATTCAAATTTTTGATCTCCGACTCCGGACAGTTTGAAATCCGACTCCAAATACGAATCCACAACCCTTTTGAAACTAATATGTCACATTTTTCAGGACTTTTGCCAATCCGTTGGATGGCGCCTGAGTCCCTTCGAGACGGTGTTTTTGATTCCCAATCAGATGTGTGGTCTTATGGAGTGGTTTTGTGGGAAATTGCTACTCTGGCTGAACAGCCGTACCAAGGATTACAACATGACCAAGTAACCAGATACGTAATTGATGGTGGATATATGGAAAAACCGAAAGCTTGTCCTAAAAAATTGTAAGTTTACTTTATTTTTTCGTTTCAATGGCAATATTTTTTATGAGAAAATTTACTCATCTTGTTTAGGGTCTTTCTCGGAGCGATTCAGAATTTTCTTTTTATTTCTATTGGAATAAAGAAGTTTATTTTTCTTACAGATATGATCTCATGTTGAACTGTTGGGAATTCAATCCTGAAATGCGTCCAAAGTTTACTGAAATCCTGACGTCACTGTCTAATGACGTCACCGAGAGATTTAAAGAGGAATCGTATTTTTACGAACAGAAAAGAATGTAAGTGACATATCCATTCGAATTGTCTTAACAATTTTTCCTTGCTGATATTTTCGAACCGACCACCTCATGAAGAGGGAGTGGTGAGGAGGAGTAAATACCTCACTCTACTCTTATGCTGTGGCAGCCTTCGATTCTGCAGCCACTTACTCATATCTAATAAAATATTTTATTTTAGAAAAAAGAGCGAAATGCCCAAGTTTAAAGAACTAACGGACGAAGAAATATCACTTCTGAACGGCGAAGCCATATTTACAAGAGAGGGGTCGTTCAGGATAGTTACCCCATTAAATTTAACCCCGTCTCGAAGCAGAAGTGAGACACCTTGTGGATGTCACACACCAGTAAGCAGACATTCGAACGGATCCTCCAAAATTGGATCCGAATTTTTACCGCATTGTGAGCATCTGAAGAAAATTGAAAATTCAGCGTTTAATGTTTATGCTCCTAACGGGATGGCTGGTGGACTTGCACATTCAACAAGGTAATTTTTCTTTGTATTTTATTTTAAGTATATAATTATTTTAGGGGGTCTAAAGTGGGGTTCGTGGCTCTCGAATGACCCCACTTTTAATGCATAAAATCGAAAATTGCTCATAAATTTATAGCTGCTACATCTAAAAACATTCTACATCCGAACATCTAAAAATGCATTTCACTATATTCGGATAATTACCGGTATTGTAGGATCGAAAATATATATTTTTTTTATTTATTTACAGTTTGAAAAGCAATATTCCAAGAAGAGGTTCCGGTATTCTGCGTAAGTCTGAAAGTTTCAATCTTAGAGGGGTTCGGAACCCATCGCCCCATCCTAAAAAGACCCCTCCAAGTACTTTAACCCGGCGGGGTGACGATTTATACTACTCTTTAAGTACTTCCGGTATAGAAGCTGATATCGGAAGTGACGTCACAGAAAATGGAGGTCCACTTCAAGGTCTCACCAAATCAATGAACAATCATACAAGCAAAAATACAAATTCTGAACCTCAAAAGGATATTTCATATGCTATGTTATCAGCCTTGCCAGGCTCAAGCCAAAGCAGTCATATTCCAGCGAACGAAAAACAAGATAGCAATAAAAAAAGTGCAACAGACGCACCTTACGCACATATGAATGGTTTCACGAAGCGACATAATTCACAAACCGGAAGACCAAATCATTTAATTCGATCATCATCTCGAAAAGATCATCATCGAGAACCTCGAGTAGACGACGAATCTAGTTACGTGGAGTCGAGCCCTCAGCATAATTCAAAATACAGCGAAAATCAGCCATTGATCAATCATTTCCATCCGCTTTTAAACGCCCCGCCCCCTCCTCCACCAACTGCCCCGCCCCCATTTCCTCCTCTCCAAAGACCATTGTTACAGTCTTGAATTGAATTCGAAATATTGACTTTTTTGAAAAACAGGTACTATTTGTGATGGTACAGTGACGTCATAGAAGTGTGACGTCATTAAAATATTTGAATCTTTCTATATCTTGCCTAGAACATTACCCCAAGTAAAATTTTAAACGCTGAACATGGTATATTGAAAACTACCCATTTGTTTTCGTCAAATGCACTCTACCTCGACAATTCATATATCATTTCATTTGTAATCATCGAATCAATCAATTCCAATTCATTATGAAAGAATATGCTGGAGAAGCTAGGAAATATTGCTTATGAAGTATAATTGAATAAACGGGTTTTATATAACAGTTACCTGAACAAAACTTTATGCATCCCACTAAATTCTAATAAGTAATTTTACTTTGTGGTACAGTAATTTTTCAATGAAAACCCATTTGCAGAGCCCTTGGCAACTGTGGGTACATCTCTATTTTCTGTGTATTTTCAGAAATAATGTTCTCGTTATCCTTGAAAATATGTCATTGTCATATTATAATGTATTTTTAGCAAAAATATTCATTTTATGCAATTTCAGCTCATAATTTGTACTGTTCCATCGTTATTTTGACTTTACAAGAGATTGTTTATGTTTAAATTACGTCATCCTGTTTCCATGACAATTCGTTCTTTAAATATTTTTTTATCATTTTTTCTTTACATTTTGTTCATTTTTTTTTTATTTAAAATATTGCAAAAATTTTTCGGTGCGCTTTTCATAATGTTTGTGATCTTTAAATTTTAAATATTTACACAAAAATATACTATGACATCACGTTTTTATGACGTAATCATCATTTGAAAGTTCCGTCCAATGATGTTTTATAATTTTTGTTTCAATCGTTATGTATGTCATAACTATTGCTGCCTATATTTATAGTCATCCAAGGAGTGGTGTGTTTGGGGCGTGTCCAAGTATTTATCCCCCTACAAATGCTATTTGTCTTGTCACGGCGTGAATAAATTTTTTTGTCATAAATTCAGTTCCTAAGTTTTATTATGTTATTTTTATCCTTGTTACGTTTCTGGCCATGCAGTGAAATTTGTCGATTTTTCGGTAATTTTTTTTAATATCATTAAAGAAATTGCAATATACTAGTGTTGTTGCGACTTTTTTGGACTCTCTGCTATTTATTATTAGTTTTTTATTATTATTATTATATTTTGTTTATCAAATATACTCCTATTTCTTTTTCGAAATATGGAATGCAATATGCTTTCAAATAAAAGCGTTCTTACCAAAGATACATCGGGCGTCTGCTGTTAATTTAGTGTGAGCTAATTCAAAAAGGCGAGAAATAATGGGTACTCCCGTAGTGCGTGTACCAGGTTAGGGTTAGTTAGGCCACAATTTTATTCCGATTTTCCTTATTTTAGTTCTATTACGAGTTCGGTGACTGTCTGTGTTAGCCAAGTGAATATCCACCTGCCCATAGGTTTCAGTCTCTTTGTACAACTTGATGTAAAATAGGCATACAAAATTAGTTACCTGCATATTGGTACAAACACTTCTGGAGCGTCAAATATAGTTCAGAAATCAGTTACTATTTGTAAATGTACTTAGATCAGTAACTAGTTCAATACTTTGTCAGCTAACGTAAAAACTTCAGCAACTCTAAAATTTTGTGTCGGCTAAGCTAAATGGAATGACACGAGACGTCACCAATTAATTACCCGACATTGAGACGTCACTCAGTGGCTAACTCCAATTCGAGACTTGAATGACCCGCGATGTTGGGACTTTCTAACACTGGTCATACATAATAAGTTTTATACTTGCACTAATTTTAGCGGTCAGTGTGGTTTCAAGTGTCAAAGGTAATGATACTGTCGATGCGAGATAATTTCCCGATTAACTTCATTACGCTAATCCTGTTTCCTGTTCAGTTCAGTAATCTTAACAAAAGTATCTTTAACAATAAACAAATATTAAGGATAGAGTGTCCTACTTGGGCCATATTCAAACTGACATACATTTAGCCAGACATTTCATTTAAAGGATTAGTTCCTCAACGCAATCATTTGGATTGAGTTTAGTTATTGGATCATTTGCTATTATGTTGTAGCCATAGTAATCTAAAGCAGTGATTTCCAACCTTTCTACCCTGGCGGACCGGTAAAATTAAATTAAATGTACTCGCGGGACAAAAAAGGCACAATCAAAAACAGCTCACATGAAGAAAAACTATCAAATAATGTGCCGACCTAAAATATTTGCGTACTGAAATGCAGTGCTGGGTACCCATTAGGCGTAAGAAAGGCACACATAAAACATCTCACTTAAAAAACATGTACATACCAAATCATGTACAAACGCAATTAACTCTAGTGAAAATTTTGCTGCTGTTTAGTTTCCAATATAGGATTGCAAACGATGCTTCAAGGAAGTTTCTGCAACACGTAGCCCTGCAGCTGCGTGCAGCCAATTTCCTTGCTTCGCTTTAATTAAAGCTAGTGATGAAAATATTTTTATATATAAGTAATAAAAATATAAGTAACTCGTTGAAAATACGGACAACAGTTTGATTGCTTGATTACTTAGCGATCGGTATTCGTTATCAAGAGATATCCAAAATTGTGACAGTGATACTTTTTCAAATTAGGACTGTAAATTAGAATCAAAATTTGAATCAAGCTGTTTCATTGGGTTTATCATACTAATCTCTCTGCAGTTGATCGATGCTTCAAACAGAATGAATTTACATTACAATGACAAAGTCGTCGGTAATTTGGCACCAGGCTCAAAATCCTACTTTGTCTGCTCAAGATACTGAAAAAGATCTCAGCGGCCCATGCTTTTTTGCGCTCCCCGTGACCACCTGCCATATTTTACTGAAGTTTATACTTTCCTTGACTGTTTTTTGGTTTGAACCACGAAATATGCATAACGTTTTATTTGGATGGTCATATTAATCAGGAAAAGCATGCGTGCCAATTTTTAGGTTTCTGAATCTTGCGAGATTTGATGGAGCGCATTCCTGATGAATCGTAGCCGAAAAAGCAAAAAGTGTGGTTCCTTGGCGCGAAGATGTCGCGGAAGACGTCGCAATATGACGGCGGAAGAAAAATTGCGTAATAAATCAACCTCGTCTTCGGTATAAAGAGATCGGAGCGCATTCGAGAGGAATCGGAGCCGAAAAAGCGAAAAGTATTATTACTCGGCGCCAAGATGTCGCAATATGACAGCGGAAGAGAAATTGCGTAATAAACCAACACAACCTCGTCCTCGGTAAAGCGATTTAAACGGCATAAAAACAACAAAACACCGAAATTTTCTCGGGGACCGGCAAAAAGCTTCGCGGTCCGCGGACTGGCGGTTGAGAACCAATGATCTAAACTTCTAAAGCATATTGAACTTTTATTGTGTAAGTGAGTTCTCAATAAAACACGCCCTCTTCCGATAGTTTTCTGAGATAACATCGAATTTTTAAAAGTGTTTTTTGACAGACCAACTTTAATAGTCATCCTCAATGTGAACCTTAATCACATCAGCAAATAGGGTGGGAGTTGACCTCGATGACCTTATGGTCGTATCGCTCCCTCCCGTCAATACCAAAGCAATTTTATTTGTGTTATGTATTTTTTTTCGTATTGATGACTGTTTGTTTTTGGTTGACAAAATAATAAATCTCTCTCTCGATTTGAATAATATAATAATATTTAATATATAAAATATTTCGGAATTATCAGACCGTACAGTTATGCAACTTCAAATTGTGAAATTCAGCAACTCGCAAATTGATAGAAAGTGGTGTGAATTTTCGGAGAAAACTCTTACCCGCAATACTCGAATTTACTGCTAAACATATTATACTTTCATTTCGGGAAATAATATTTTCGTTCAAATTGCGAATTGGCATTCGATATTTCTTCCCTTTCCCAACGAAAAATGCCAATATATGTGTCTCTTAGACTATGTTTTCGTGTTGAGGAACTTCAGATCTTTGATTTGTTGTCGGCAAAGAATTTTTATCATTGGGTTAAAAAATACCTACGTGTTAATACCGAGGTCTATAACCCAAAACATCCAATTAGAAAACCAGTTTTGAGTTAACGAGTAAAAACATTATTTTTAAAATCTTTTGTTGAATTACCGTGTCCATTAGTAACTTCAAAGTTTGATTAGTAAACCAGGTTAAAAATATTTATTTATTTGTAATTTTTTTTTCAAATAACAGTTCTTCAAAATTTCAACATTCGGCCTTCTGTCCTGAAGCAATAGGTGTAACCAATTTTCATCTTTCTTTAAATGCAATTTTGCGGCATTGGCAGTGAGACATAAAGTCGTACGGTTTTCAAACACCATTTTGCTCTATTCTTGAACGATTTTCTGAAAACCTGACGTTTCCTGGCTTCCTAAAATTCTTTTCGCTAAATAAACCAAACAAGATAGATGAAAAATCTTGCTTATGCGCCTTGGATAATTTTGACAGCGGAGTACGTGTAGAGCAATTCTTTATTGTATTGCTAGATATCAGTGGGTGGTAGTAACTTTTATCTGGCTTTGTTCGGAGCAAAAGGCACGAGTGAGCGTCATATTACGTAAAAAAATCCTCTCCTTTCCCCAATTTTGGGCTGGCTACGCTCTTGCCTGAAACCCTTGATGTGTTAAAAACTCTGAACCGACACTTGAGTCTCATGCAGATACGAACCCATTTAAGCGTTAGACAAGTAAAAATGGAGAATATATGTTTTAATACTATGATTTATTCTGATTTTAATCTCGACTGAATAAATTTTGAGTAAAGTTTCACAAAAAATATTGCGTTGTTACTTTATATATTTTGCACGACATACATATATATATATTATCATTGACAGGTTTAGAATTCAAATCGTCATAATAGGCACATATGTTTAATATAGAAAATAAATGAAAGAATAAAATACGTTATTTAGTAAAAGTTAGATATTTAGTACATCAGTAATGCACTCCACTCATTAGACCCTCAACATCGCGTCAAAACCTCAGTATATCTATATATATTAGCTATGCTATCTTAGCCAAAACTGTTTCATTCTCAAATGATATACTCTGTACAATACATATTTAGATAAAATGACGAAGTGAATTTCATTAATACCAGAGAATTTTAAAACAGCGACTACTCAGCGATATTACATATTGCAAATACATGACATTGTTGGCCACATGGTTCAGTTGAAATTTTGCCAACCGGTAATTTTGATACTGCCACACAAGACGGTACTCACTCAAGCATATGAGTATACCTGAATAATTATTTAACAAAACAAATCAATATAAAAAGAAACAATACAATTGTTATAATAATATAATCGAAATTAACAGGCACATTGGGTAATATTCCACTCACTTCAGTCTTTGAACGATACAATGAACAAATGATGAAATAAATCGTTTCTATGACAACTTTATGACGTAGAAATATTTGTTTCAGTCGTCATTTCGACATTGACGGGATTTGTTACTTGGTTAACATTTATAATACCATCAGCTTTGTCGTCTCTACATGTTACGTAGTTCTTAAATCGTTGCACAGATGCAGAAGGTGCGAGTAAAAACTCATATTGCAAAGCAGCGAGTACTCCTCCTAGAATTGGTCCAACCCAGAATACCTTCAAAAAACAAAGTTACATATTATGAGTTAATTATGTTATTCGTGTTTGGATTCTTCTTCGCACGGGTACCCTGAAGTATGGCCGGGTCAAAAATGGGTTGCGCCAAAGTTATTTAAATCTGTCAAAACGAATTACCAGATTTTGATCGGGCTTTAAAGATGGTTGAGAACCACTGTTATATATATCAGTATAGTATATAGATCCAAATCTAAATGTGTAGTGTTTGAGTCTGTCGTATACCGGAGCGTTTTTGACTTCACAGTCCTGAATTATCAACATCGACCATTTTGATAAATAATCATAAACTGTTAAATTATATGTGCTGAATATTCACTTTGAAATAGTGGGCGCAAATGCGGTATCTCAACAAGGTTCTGTCCTGCTCGTTACACACTTATTTTACAGTTATACTCTCGGCCACCTTTGCCACAGTTGTTCCACACATTTCCCAATTATATCACTCGTGCCGCACCGGTACAAATGAAACAAGTGTGGGATAAATGTGAGATAAACGTGGGACAAGTATTGCACAAATATGACAAGTGTGGGACATCACATTTTGGGAAACCTCCGGCAAGTGGTCGAATCTTGATAAGTGATACTAAAAACCTGAATGAGGTTTATTTATTTTGAGTGTGACATTCTGCCGTATTTATTCAGTCATATTCGACAGATGAACTAAAATACGCATTCATTGGGAACCTGCTATTCGACGTTAACAAAATAATAAACAATTGATTCGAAAACACAAATAACTTTACCCAATGGTCAGTCCAAAATCCCGAAACTACAGCTGGTCCGAATGATCTTGCTGGATTCATTCCACAGTTCGTATAACCGATCTAGAGCGAAAGGAAAAATTTACTTTTATGCAAGTTACTATTTTAGTTCGATGTAAAAGGGCTGGATTGGGGGAAATGTAGAAAAAGTGCGTTAATGAGGTAGTATTTCGAATTTAAAAGTAAAAATAGCTTTAAAAGTGCTCATCAAAATAATTGGGCACATGTATAAATTTAAAACTATAAAAATGATGATTTTTTTTTTAAATTTTAATGGAGAATACGTTTTTTTTCTGACATCAACGCGAGTAAAGCTAGATATTCACCAAAAGGCTGACTGTAAAGTAGGTTCAAATAGAGTAAAAATGGAAAACATTTATTAATTAAAACTCTTAACATCGGTAGAATAGCTAAAATCTAAATTTAGATTCCAGAAATTTAGATTTAGACACCACAGGTATTAAGGTAAAAAATTCTTTATTTATGCCACTTTATGTTGTTCTAAGTGGAATGATTTTAAAATGACTGTGGTTTATTACGTATATACACACACCGCAAATAAATGTCCGATAGCAATAGAAATTCCTATAGCAAGTGCCGGAGATCCCATCAAGTCTTTTCTGTTGGGATCGGTTGTGGCAAATACTGTCATTACAAATTGCCAAGTAATTAAAAATTCGACACCAAAACCCGCTCCAACGCTGACACCAGGCATTATCTGGAATGAAGAAATTATAACAATTTACCTAAGTTCTGCGAAAATAGTCTAATAGTTGGTAATTAGTTAATAAAAATTTGGGTAAAAATCTGCTATTTCTAATTACTTGCATTTTAATCAATTAAATTTTTCATATAGGCGTTTTCTATATAGCGATTATATTAAATCACAAAACATATTAAAATGATTTGAAAATACATACATATTATTTATACCATGAGAACACTTTAAAATGGTGGTTAAAAAATAATCTAAAGTTAAAAACAAATATTGGACCAAAAGTTTCAATATTTTTAAAAATCACGAAAAAGTCAAAAATCTAAATGTTAGAACTGCGAATTCAAATATTTTCGAACCATATCAGCTGCTAAATTTCCTTCGATGTCATCAGGAGTGATTCCTTTAAGTATTGCAGATCCACACATTGCACCAACCATCTGAGCAATAACGTACAAAATTCCTCGAAAAATTGAAATTTTTCCTGCCAACCAGAATATTTAGAATCAAATAGTCATTGCTTGATATAATTACGAAAAAAAGTTTAGTTGAGAAACGAATATTTATACCGAATGTCAAATATTTCATAGACTTCAGTTAAAGTCAGAATAAGTTGAGTCTCTTCAAAATTTAATAAAAACTATAGTTAAATCGACGATCCAGAAGTGTACCAATGTAACTAATTTTGTTCACCTACTTTACATCAAGTTGTGTAAAGGGACTGAAACCTATGGGTATATTCACTTGGCTAACACAGACAGTCCCCGAAATAGTAATAGAACTAAACAATAAAAATCGGAATAAAATTATGCCCTAACCCTAACCTGGTACACATACTACGGGAGTACCGTTAAGTCAGCATCAGCGATACTGAGCATCAGACTCATATCCAACTTGGAGCAGACAACTCAAGTAAACCCATTTTTAAATAACAGCCATATGTAGGAGATATATGCTCTTAGTAAGAACGAACTTTAGCAAGAATATAGTTTCGTGCCAATAATTCTTTTGAGAGAATGTACTTTGGCGTAAACAAATAAAAATGAAATATAAAAAGATAAAACGAAAACAAAACAAATTTTTTTTACGTAAACAAAGTTTTGAACGAAAATGAACTTTCGCAAGAATGTAATTTTCTGGTAGTGGAATGATTTATTTGGGCTAATGTACTTTTGAGATAACTCAAATTGGTGGTCGTGCTTGTAAATTTGCGAGTTTGTTTTCATGAGTACGGACTTTTCGAAGTTGTACTTGTGATAATCGTATTTTTCTTTAAACGTCTGAAAATAGAGGTTTTCTGTTACCATTGATTATTATTCTACAATAAACCTTGCCATCGATAATTTTTCGTCGATTCCTTTGGGTAAATCAAAAATTATTTTTCGCAATTCAAAATATATTTTCGTTCTTCGTATGTACTTTTAGGGTTCGTCTTGTTATTTTAGTAAGATTTTACAGTTGTTTTGCAAATTAATAATATTAAACGAGTAAAAACCAGATAATTTAGATTTTCTTAGAATTATAAACTGTCATAACTTGTTTTTAACTGAACATAATTGAGTTAAGTTGCACCAAGCCGTTTATTTCTCAATGGCTAACCAGTTTTAATGAAATTTTCTTGGTTCCACACTTGATTAGGTCATGCTCATCCATTGCTAAATAGTATATAAGCTATTTAATATGTAATGATTAGATTATCGTATTGCATCGTGGGGTATCGTATAGTACCGTGATCGTACGTTGGATAATAAAGACATTGTCTCGTTAAAGTGTCTAACACAGATTTTTGTTGATGGGGTGGGGGGTAAAGGGCGCTACCGTTGTATTCGTCGTTTAACGATAAAAGATAAGCTGTCGTCCACCATACAAACAACAACAAGCCTATATATTCCTTCATGCCCCTAAATACTTACTCGTAACCATCATTGCAACTGTTACAGCAGAGTTTATATGACCTCCTGATATATGACCAATCGCTTGAACGAGGGTTGCAATTGTTAAACCGAATGTGAGAGCGATGTGTAAATAACTTGAATTATTCAATGACATTGCACTTCCAGTTGCGATCAGAACAAAAAGTAGAGTAGCTGTAAAACAAGAGAACAGCAAACTCATTTAGTTTGTTTAAACAGAACTAAGCTCCGGAAAATGAACTCCACGAAATATCTAACTATCATAACATTTCTGCGTTACTAACGAACTATTATTGTGCGTGTGCACTTGAGGTTGTGGATTTAAGAAGGATTGTGTTGGATTTCTGAACGGATCAACTAATTTTCTATGCCAGTGGTTCTCAACCTTTTTTGCGGACTGGGAATATTTCAAAACTAATTTTGCGGGCCGGTGAACCTTCAAAATCCACCCAAACACAAAAATATTTGACCGAATGTAATTGCGTCAAAAGTATGCAATTCCAAAGCAGACAATTCAATTGAAAAACTTTTCTCAAATGAGTAAGTTGTACAAAAAATAAGCAATAATACTTTGGCTTTGTCACTGAGCTTAGGATATTCTCTTTAAAGCGATACCCAAAACTTTGACAATGGCAAATCTTTATGTTCCGACATCAACGTGGTATTGACGGAAAGCTCAATCATCAATTAAAATTTATCCAGGCCAGTACTACGTGCTCTCATAGACTTATTGAAACATAAAGCCGTCCAGGGTTTGAAATGGGCGTAGGACCTCGGACCAAGTTTGGTTTACGCATCAATAGAAGGTAAAACTAGCAAAATAAAATTGCAGGGCATCTAGGCCTTGCATTTCGCAATTGAAATATAATATTAGAAAATACCTAGCGGACCGGTGGTTAAGAACAAGTGCTCTATACTAATGATATCTACCATGTGAATGTTAGTAGGCTTCAGTATTATAAATTTCGACTTTACCTTGAAATTCCGCGAAAATAGCAACCCAAAATTCCTTTGTTTTCAACTCCTCCCAATCCATGATGTTATTCTAAGTGTGCGGGTAGATTAGTTTTGTTCTGTAGTTCTATGTAATATTCGAATCCTTTCGTAAGTGTAATTAAAATGGTTTTAATTTTGTAATTATATGCCACAGATATTATCACTTTCAAGTAGAACTAAAAATAGGACTTAATAACACATATTACAAATGCAATAACATACCAGTAAAAATACACTGAACTTAAGTTTAACGTTATACGAAAATTGTTTATGCTGAAATAATAATCCACGCTGTGAGCGATCAGCCTTCTGTTCTGTTTATTCGTAATATGCTTAGAGACGAACATACGAACAACTTCGCCATACGAAGAGAAATCCTCTTGCTTCAGCATCATAACGGGAAACACTGAACTTACCCGAGCATGCGCACTCGAGTATATGGGCCCACAAACACTTCATGCGTAGAGTAAAAACGACCTTAAACAGCATTCGTATAATGCGATATGCGACGACAACGATTTTCTATTTGAATTTCAAAAATTCGAAATGATAATTATATACAAACTACCCGCGCACGGCGCATTTATTAATGGCGATTTCCTGGACACAAAATACATTTTCCACATTTCTGACAGAAACGCATCCATATTTTCTGGCACTGCTCACAGTAAGATGGAAAAGATAACATGCTTTGCGAATAACCTAGCTCACTGAATATTTGCAGCATATGGGTAAATATTGAATGATACAAAAGTCAACAATACATGCACGCTTACAAAGCTTAATAATATATGCAGTTGCACTGTGAGTGCAAATAAATCATTCAATTTTGAACCGCAACAATGCACTTATATCTTACGTTAAAGAACGTGGTCAGAATTTAAGTTTAAATATTAATAAACACCTTTATTTCGCCTTGCGTTAAAATCTTGGCGAACAACGATTGCAGTGACTTGCTTCTTCCGCATATTGATTAGCAGTAGAAAACGTTACTTCAATCAAAATTCGTGAAAATGAATTCGTGCCAGATATTTTGCCATGCACGGATTGTAAACGAAATATGTCCTGCATATATTTCACATCAACAGATTTGGTATTCTGTACTATTACACACGGCTTTAATTACACATAACTTCCAACTCGAATTACTTGAAACAATGAACATAGAATATGATCTGTTACAGCAGAATAACAAACACAAATCTTTTTGAAGGACAGCTACGTAACTTGAAACGTCATTTCATTCTTTTCCTTTCTGTCTGAGGGGTTTAAATGGACTGTAGGGCGTAGGCCTACGATGCGATATAGGTGAATCGATAATTTAAAACATCGGCATCTCTATATGCAACAAATATAACAACACAGATTGCAACTAATTCAGATTTTGCCATAATTCTATGCCAAATAAGTCTCTCCGTGCCTCAAAAATGTAATCGCTGTGCAACCGTAGCCCTGAGAACAAAACATGTTTGTTTTGGGCGGACAGTCAAGATTTGAGTTCATTTCGTACTTAATGTCTATTTTTAGAGACCAAACTTGGTATACAGGCCCTCCGTGGAGAGACAGGAAGGGAATACCTACATTTATCTATAAATACTGCAGAATTTCCTTGAAAACGAGCTTTATAATATATTTGCTATACACTGACTTTAACCGAACTTTATGCTTCCTGCACCTTACCATTGCGAGTAAACTGGTATCACGAACGTGCTCAATCGTTAGCTAAAAAGTAGAAACTCGAATCTGGTCTCTGAACCCCCAAATATTATAATATATATGGACTTGGTTACTCTGTCACTGGTCGTATTGTCCAGTCTCGTTTTATACCCAAGATATGCTTTGTATCCTGCTGCTTAAGCCTTGTCGTTGAACGAACATGCAATATTTTTATTCAAAATTTCTTTTTCTCTCGATGATTACGATGAAATCCAATTGTTTCCGGCACGAGTTGAGATTTTGCGTAGAACTGATTTTCTCGTCGCGGAGAAATTTATTTCAATGTAATAAATTTGTTTCGTCTGGACAATTTGTTTCTCAGTGGGATACATGGAAAAACTAGAGGGTAGCAGTTAAATCTCAATTGCATGATAAATCATATCAGGGATAAGTAGCGTGACAAATGCGATTCATTTGTTTTAATTTTATTATATTTACTTACAACTATAATAACAAAATACCAAAGTTAATGAGATATATATAATATTTTTTGTTTTTTGGGCAGAATGAAAAAGGGCCAAGATTGACTAAAATCATACATACATGTTGATTGTGACATTTGTAAGAAAGGCAAAAATGCTTTGCAGATGATCTGCAAAATGTTTATGAATTGATGAACCCAACACTCTTACTGTCACGGATATGCTGATAACGTGCGTACACAATGAAATACACAGATCTTTTTGGTCAATTCGAATATATACCATTTCGCTGTGTTCGGCAACCTTTACAGCTCGCGCGCCAAAATTGCACCTTGTATGTCTTGGGGGTAAAGTGAAAGAACATATAGGTCTCATCTGTTTCGCAGAGAATTGAAGCTGGAATTTTTGTCTTTACCCAAATACGATTTGCGAATAGGGCAAAAACAGGAATTCGGTAAATTACACCAGTAATCCGATTTCTCAGTCAACTCTGCAAATTACATTCTCAATAATATGATGTGTACGCATAAGAACTCCTAAAATTGGACTTGATCTTTTGTAGAAGTCAAATTAAGATGTATATAGTATATAGCAGGGATGGCGAACCTTTTTCAATGAATGGGTCAAAAATCATATTTTTATCGCGAAACAGAAAAGAGTGGGTCACAGATACTTAATCAATGTCTGTATCTATAAGAAACTGCTAAAACAAATCATAACACAACGGTTCTGTTAATGTTGGTGTAGTTCAGTGCTTTACTTTACAGCACTTTATCAGGAACTTTTTATGGCACTCGATTAAGGGTACGAAAACACACATATGAATTACGTTTAGGATGACGCGGCAAAATATTTTACGGTTTCAGAGAGTTTGAAGGGAATTCCACTCTGATAGTGCTATATATTTATATCAGCTTTAACCATATAAAAAGCACTTTTACGCTGTCCCATTGTTGTTCCAGATTTCTAGGTTTTTATTTCAACACTGAAAGATTTTGTATTTTCAACGGCATTGTAGGCGAGAAACTAATGAAATGCAAAGTAGAACCTAGTTCTCGTACAACCCCTAAAACAGTCTGCAGATGCACTTCTGAAGAGACAAGACGTTGCGAGAAATGAACATCAATTGAATTGTTATGTCATAAACTATGTCAGAGCCAATAGCTGAAGAACGGCACACAACGGTGCAGACATGCGACCAAGATTAGGGGTTTTGAATATTATCATACCGGAAATTAACAATTTGAATACGAGCGATCGCAGCCCTGACTGCCCAACTGACGGTACATTATAATAGTTTAGGTATTGTTAGATTAATTTACGGCCGAATTTAATATTTTTTTATCACTGATATGTTAGCATTTTTCTTATTTTATTCGTGCCTTGGCGGGTCACGAATAAAACGCGGTGGGTCACTTTGTGACCCGCGGGTCAGTGGTTCGCCATCCCTGGTATATAGTATATTTTTCTATATACAAATACATGATTCGTATTTTGAATCGAATAAGGATATAATTCGTAGATACATATCATAAAACACCCTTTAAATAACATTCGACCGTCTAATATTCGACATTAAATGTAGTACTAAACTGCCAGAAATATTTTTCAATAGAGCAAACAATAACAAAGCGAGTAGAAAATCCCTTTTGTGAACCCCGTTGTCAGAAACAAATGCAAAGTTTTTTGAAACATTCTTCTTTGGAATATGGTAAAGTGAACGTGATTTTATCTCTCCGAGTAGAAAGTACTCAGTGGCGTATCTAGGGTGTGGCAGCCATAGCTCGTGCCATGGGCGCCGTTTGAGCAGGGGCGCGAAGACTGCAAAAAAGCATAATCATAAAAAGTTTCAATGAAATAATTTCAGATTGAGAACAATTGAAACTCGTATTTTTACTCAAATAATAACGTACAAGTACCTCAATTCAATAACAGTCATTATAAATTAGTGTTTCCCAACCCGAGTCCGCAGTCTCAAATGAGTCCGTGGAGTGTTGTAATGAGTCCGCAACGAGCCAGAAATTCGTGCGAGCCGCAAACGTTTTGTGGAACTTAACTATCAGCCAATTTACGTGGAACTTACATAAAACATGAAAAGCAAGTTTATTCTCATAACATTAATCGAGTCAATAATTATTAATTACTGGTTACTGAGTAGGGCTGGGCATATATTCGAATATTCAGCTATTAGAATAGCAATTTAATATTCGAAAATTTGGTAACAGGTGACGCGACAGGTCACTTGCCCTTGTGCGCGTCGCTTAATCAAACGATTGGATTTTACAACTCACTCACGAATTTTCGACGAAAACACACTGAGAAGTCATCCGTAATAAATGCTAAATAATAAATTATGTGTTTGGCTAGACAACACATGACACTTAGGATTGTTAGCTTTACTGCCTCAACACTGATACCCCGTACAGTACTGGTAAGTGTTGTACGAACAGCTCAGATTTGTGGAATTTACAAAAATAGGAATCAAAACAAAATATAATCGGGCCTTTTACCACGCATTTTTGTGTCCACGGATTGTCATGATAGTATTGCTTTTATTTCGCCAACACAATCGCAGATTAAAATGATCACAATTAAATTAATAATAAAGCAAGGCGATGAATATTCATTTTTCATTTACTAATATATTCTGAATATATTTTTATTAAGTACTGAATCAAGTTGTACTTTCTGGAAATTTATAACAGATAGTGAGATTTTTTAACGACGATAACAAATATGCAAGATCGCAAAAATATGTAACAAAACTAAATATAATCGGGCAATATAGTCTCACATTATTATGTTCACAGATTGCCGATTGGTATTTTTTAAAGAAGAAATGCTTTCACCTTGTCGTGAGTCGACGCAACCGCGAGTTACCATGAACACAACTAAATTAATATAGAAAAACGTTGGATTGAATATTGTGCGAAAGAAAGCCAATTATACATTAAAAAAGTCGGCTTTTTTAACGAACGCGTAATTGCGGCAAATTTCCGATTTTGAAATTCGTTACAATTCTGTTGTATTTCATTTTATTACTTCTTCGCACAGGTT